CAAGGGTCGCAGCCTCTAACGGGTTGTCTTCGTTCTCAGTCTTTACCCCTCTGGAGGTCACATTTAGCCCCATGTCACTTCATGGATTAACAGGAACAAGGATTTTGTGGGTGGACAGGTTCCACATATCACGGCAGACCCTTGGCCAGATTCCTTATCAGGCATCTCCGTCTTCCCCTCCAAAGTTCTTCTCCTTGTCAGTTGCTTTGTCTTGCCCCTTTATCTTCCTTTCACTCCTCTGTGAATCCCCTTGGCAGTCCCAAGCCATCCTGCTCTCCCTCAGCTTCTGTGTCTCACAGACTAAAATACCAGGCTGATATCTAGAGAAATAACCATGAGCATTCCTCAAAGTATGCCCCATGGGGCAAGTCCTCCCACCACGTGCCTTGTTATAGCCTTTGCCCCACAGAAACGGCTCCCTTTCTATGCAGGCACAGGGCTGCATGGAAAATGTGATCTCTCCATGCTGTTTCAGAAGCAATAAAGATTGACACATGGCTGCCCACTCAAAAGCCCAGCTGCCTCCTTCACCTCAATTTCAGCTTTCCTTCCTTCAGGCAGGGACTTCCTTGGGTCTCCCCAAAGCAGGGGATGCCCTGTCCACAGAGCACCCAGGACCTGACCCTATCATAGAACTGATAATGAAACCTGATTTATCTTTCTTCCTGAACCTGCCCAGGCCGGTAGCTCATGGATGTCAAGAACAGTGTTTATTATTTTATTAGTTTTTCTTCTATGTTCCTCATCCTTAATATAAATCTCAATAAATGGTTTTGAATAAGTAAATGTATTGGGTGTCAGCTGCATTTAGAGAGAAGTTGGTAAGGATTTTATTCTCTAATGGGCTCTAAATCATTGGTGTACGTGGTTGAGAGGGGAATGTCTTGTCTATATTGGGTGGTTTAAAAATTGATAATAATGGCGATGTGTTTTTTGATAGGATTTCCAATTTTCAAAGTATTTTCTTATAAAATATTTATTTTATTCTTTTCCCAATACCGTGAGGTTTCTGGATGGTATCACTGAGTTTGCAAATGCTTGTGGCTATTCAACAGTAGAGGCGGGGCTGGCAACTTGCCTTCTGAGTGTAAATTGGTGAAATCTTTCTGGTAATACATGTTAAAAGCCTTAAGAATGTAGATACACTTTTTTTTTTTTTTTAGAACAGTATACATAGCTGCCTGTCATTTTAATTTTTTCTCTTTATTTTTAACATCTTTATTGGAGTATAATTGCTCTACAATGTTGTGTTAGTTTCTGCTTTATAACAAAGTGAATCAGCTATACATATACATACATCCCCATATCTCCTCCCTCCTGCGTCTCCCTCCCACCTTCCCTATGCCACCCCTCTAGATGGGCACAAAGCACCGAGCTGATCTCCCTGTGCTATGCAGCTGCTTCCCACTAGCTATCTATTTTACATTTGGTAGTGTATATATGTCCATGCCACTCTCTTTGTCCCAGCTTACCCTTACCTCTTCCCATGTCCTCAAGTCCATTCTCTACGTCTGCGTCTTTATTCCTGTCCTGCCCTTAGGTTCATCAGAACCATTTGTTGTTGTTGTTGCTTTTAGATTCCATATATATGTGTTAGCATACGGTATTTGTTTTTCTCTTTCTGACTTACTTCACTCTGTGTGACAGACTCTAGGTCCATCCACCTCACTACAAATAACTCAATTTCGTTTCTTTTTATGGCTGAGTAATATTCCATTGCATATATGTGCCACATCTTCTTTATCCATTCATCTGTCGATGGACACTTAGGTTGCTTCCATGTCCTGGCTGTTGTAAATAGAGCTGCAATGAACATTGTGGTACATGACTCTTTTTGAATTATGGTTTTCTCAGGGTATATGCCCAGTAGTGGGATTGCTGGGTCGTATGGCAGTTCTATTTTTAGTTTTTTAAGGAACCTCCATACTGTTGTAGATACACTTTGAATTGGAAAATACACTTCTAGAAATTTATCCAAAGGAAAAGAAATGTGCAAAAACAATTTTGTACGCACACAAAACATCCTCCCTGTGCTATTTATAAAAAAATAAATATTGGGAAATATTGGGAAAAAAATCTAAATATCAAATCATAAAGGCTTATTTAACTAGATCATGGTATAGATATTCAGCAAAATATTGTTTAATTTTAAAAATAATGTGATAAAACTTTTAATGATATGGAAACATGTGAAAGAAAGAAGATAACTGGGTACAGAAAGTGGATGTGTTTGACCTCAATTCTAATATATGTATCTCCATATGTGCACAGAAGAAAAACTGGGAATATATATATGCACCCGGTATATTAGCAGTGGTTATCTCTGGGAGGATGATTCTAAAATTAAAAAATATTATTTTTGTAATAAAATAAAGTGTTACTAAAATACCTAAATAAAATTAAAAGTTATTACTTTTATAATTGCGGGGGAAAATCCCAATAAAAATTTTAACTCCATAAAAACAATCACTTCATGGACACCTGGCGTTTTGGAATGTAAATACATGGACGAAGTCCCCACTAGGGTGAGGTACAGACATTGGTTATATGTGTCATGGCACAATTTTCAGTTGTTGACAGGCAACCTCCCCGTGTTAATTAGTGGCTGTGTCTGAGCACGTGACCCATCTCTTGGGCAATAGCAATAAAGAGGGGTTTCAACATTTCTTGATGTCCTGCTCACTTGTTTTTAAGAACTCCCTCCACTTCTCAGAATTCCATTATTATGTCCATCTTAGGGTTATTTTAAATCCCCTGGGGCAACTAGCTATTATTTGCCATTAAGCTTCTGACAAGTGGATGAGAGGCAATTTCATGGAAAAACCCCTTGCACTGAGCCTCAGAAAAGGGTGCGGTCATCTTATTAAAACAGAGTTTAAGAAGTTCAGCTGGGTTCTCTCTGCGAAGCTGTGTACTTGTTTTAGCCCGGCCCCTCAGCTTCTGGTCATCCTTGGGATACGAAGCAAAAGGAATTAGAAGTTTAAAGTGTGGAAAAGAGGGAAAGAAGGTGGAGAAAGTGGGAGAATCTGGAAGTCCAAAGGGTGGTAAGGAAGAGGGGCAGCTGGTGGACTCAAGGGTTAAAGCCCCACTCTCTTGTCTATGGCCAGAAATCTGAGCATCTCTGCCGCATCCTGAAACCACTCCCAGTACCAAAGTCTCTCTCTCCCCTTACCTTGCTCCATCTTGTACCGGCACATCCTGTCCCTACCTGATTTAATCACCTGTTCTCATTCTTGTACGATATGTTCTTTCAAACTTCCTTCTTCGTTCAAAGCATCTGGGCTACTTACACAGCAAGATAATTACTTGTCTCTCTTACTGGCTTATATTTACTCTATTTTTTCTTCTTTCCCCTTTGCTCAGCTTCCCTCAGGAGCCCTCTCTTAGCAGAAAAGCCACCTGTCCAATCAAAGATGTAATGGCCAGGGATCTGAGCTAGGCTGGATCTGTGGGGAGAGCAAAAAGTACTCCCAGTGCAGACTCCTTTAGAGAAAAAGGAAGGAGGAATGAGAACCAGGGTTCACCCCTTTAAATGCATTTTCAGAAGACTTCAGGATGACTCTAGTTTAGTGGCTGGAACACCTATCCATCCATCCATCCATCCATCCGTCTTTCAAACGTCCACTGAGCATCTCTGATGCAGCAGACACGGGCAGGGCCTTGATAACTTAGTCTTGTGCTAAAGCAACCCTCCTAGTAGTCAGGCTGGTAGAGAAGAGAAAAGCTAGTATAACACTTTAGTGTAAATGACAGAAGTATTAAGAAGGAGCTCTGCAGGGGCCATGAGAGCCAAGAGCAGGCAGATTTGACCTACTCAAGGAGGTTGGGGCTTCCCTGGGGAGGCTACCTGAGGGATGATGAGTAGAAAGTCCCTCTTCTCTCTCTATTCACAGCCCTGCATATAAATGGGTATGCAGATGCTCCTGGTTGCTTCTCCGACAACCATTTCCCCTTTGTTTTTGTACACAGAGCCCAGTTTTGTCAGCTGTCGGCTGTCCAGTCCCAGCAGATGGGGTGTTATTCTAAGGTAACTGTGGTAACCTCACTTCCCACTTATCTGTGATTGGTTTAGGACTGGTTATTCCACCCAGTTCTGGGCACTGAGACATGGCAGAAGTCTTCTGGGGTCTGCTGGGGAAGATTTTCCTCCCTGGTCAAAAGAGAGAGGGTGGAAGAGAAGGGTCCCCAGATAAAAAGAGTCTGGGTCCTTGGTTGTATTATGAGCTCCTAAAGCAAACCTGGGACTGGTTTTCTCAGGACTTTTTTGGTGAGTGTTACACGCCCATGGTTTAGTCTGCTTTTAGCCAGGCATCTGGCCTTTGGGGGATGATTTCATCAACGTCTGGCACGGACAGCTCAGTGGTCTAATTGGTGAAATGGGTATGTTTTCAACCCTAGTGGCCTACGGGTGGAAAAGGTGGGTGTGAGTGAGCACTCTCAGTATGCTGCTGTGAAGGGAAGGAACAAAGTAGCTTGTGGCTGGGGTATTACTTTATTGGGCACGTTCGAAGTAATCATATCCTCACTATTGCTTTATCTGTTTGTTTGTTTTTTTTTTTTGCGGTACATGGGCCTCTCACTGTTGTGGCCTCTCCCCTTGCGGAGCACGGGCTCCGGACGCGCAGGCTCAGCGGCCATGGCTCACGGGCCCAGCTGCCCCGCGGCATGTGGGATCTTCCCGGACCGGGGCACAGAACCCACGTCCCCTGCACCGGCAGGCAGACTCCCAACCACTGCGCCACCAGGGAAGCCCTACTTTATCTGTTTGAATATCCTTTTGATTTTTTTCTTTTCAGTTCTCTGGACAATGGCAGATTTAGTGCTAGGAGTCATTAAAAGTGAAAGTCCAATAATTACTCTGCCTATCTGTTTTTTGATGTGCATGTTCTGTCCAAGAAAATACGGAATCTGATTGGTTATTTAGCCATGTATATAAATAGCTCCCACATTGTGAGACATTTTCTCAAATTTGAGGAAAGTCATAAATATTTGGCACCAACCACTTTAAGTCCTATAAATGGACGAATCTGATTCAGTTTTCTGGATACTTTTCTAGCAAACAAAAGCCACCCGCATGTTCCAGGGTCTCCCACTGCAGACTCAGAGTTTTGGGAGCCAGGAAAACTGTATCTTCCTGCGTCTTGGGCACAGGAGAACAGACTTGGCAGCTCTGGTGCCCAGGCTGTCATGCGCTCCATTTCCTCTTTACCATTAATGTTTGTCTGGGAGGGGGGTCTTCCAGGAAAAGTCATATCCTTGTTCTCAGTCTAGTCCTTTGCTTGGCCGTTCGCAAGTGTTATTTGGTAATGAAGAGTCCACGAGATGGTCAGGCCTTGGGGCTGGATGTGAACTGAGGTTGCGGTATGATCCAGGTGGAGGTCACACACTTTGGGGCTGGTACACTTAGGGATCTGGACAGGTACAAAATAACCCTCATTCACCTGAGAGGCGACGCAAGCTGCAGAAAGAATTGGACAGTGGTTTCTAGAGCTGGTTCTGCCATTTCTCAGTCAGATCGATTTGGGCCCATCTCTTCCTCTTTCTGAGATGAATTTCTTTTAATAGAAACTGTCGAGCGGGTCACATCTGTCTTGCTTTCCTCAGCCAACTATTGTGAGGATGAGATGAATTAATGTTATGAAAATGCTCCACGGGACTGCAAGTTCTACGTGAGTGTGAACCAGTGGTCAGTAAGAGGTGAATGCTCCCAGATCCTCCACGTCTCTCTGACTCTTTGAGTGGAGGTCTAATTCCAGATGGAGAAGGTTCTCCTTTCTCCCTGAATGTCTCTTGATTTAGGAACTCCCAAGTATCCTTGCTTTAGGACTCTTGGTTACTGAGGAGCTGCCATGTGCCGCCATGGTGATGATATCCCTTTGGCTGGGAGCCCAGTGACCCCTGTGTCCCTCTTGGCTCCAGAATCAGGACAGGGTCATTTGCTCCACAAGGAGCCGCAGATCCCAGGGGCCATACAATGGAGGAAATGGGGCCCAAAGCCAATGCCAACTGCTCCTTTATTTGCAGGTGTCAACACCAAGAGCTTTGTGGTGGGGTGGCTTCATGTTTGCTCAGGGCTGGAGTCTGGGAAAAGCACACAAAGTTTGCCTTTGGTGCCCTTTTGCTTTCTCTTTCGAATTCTGTTCTCTCTCCTACTCCTCTCTGTCCTTCCCTACACAGAGGTAATTTCAGGCTCCCTCTGCTTCCCAGAACTCTGCATTGGCAGTACCAGCAAAGTCAAGAGGAGTTCCACACAACAGAACTCCCTACGGTGATGGAAATGGTCTATGTCTTCTCTGTCCAATACGGCAACCATAACCATATGTGACTGTCAAACATTTGAAATGTGGCCAGTGTAACCGAGGACTTGAATTTTTAATATTATATAATTTCAATGAATTTACATTAAAATTACCACTTGAAGCCAGTGGCTAGTGTGCTCGATGGTGCAGGTCTGGCGCTCAATACCTCAATCATTTCAGTCCTTCCGCTCCAATCACAATCAACCTGTCCTGCAGATAATGGATAAAGGAGATGTGGGACACGTACACAATGGAGTACTGCTCAGCCATAAGAAAGAATGAAATAACGCCATCTGCAGCAACATGGATGCAAATGGAGATTATCATACGAAGTGAAGTAAGGCAGAAAGAGAAAGACAAATACCATATGATATCTCTTATATGTGGAATCTAAAATATGACACAGATGAACCTGTCTACAAAACAGAAACAGATGTCTGAACACAAAAAAACAGACTTCTGGTTGCCAAGGGAAGGGGGTTGGGGAAAGGATGGAGTGTAAATTTGGGGTTAGGGGGGACCTTCAAGATGGTGGAAGAGTAAGACGTGGACCTCACCTTCCTCTCCACAAATACACCAGAAATACATCTACATGTGGAACACCTCCTACAGAACACCTACTGAACGCTAGCAGAAGACCTCAGACCTCCCCAAAGGCAAGAAACTCCCCACGTACCTGGGTAGGGCAAAAGAAAAAAGGAAAAAAGAGACAAAGAATAGGGACGGGACCTGCACCAGTGGGAGGGAGGTGTGAAGGAGGAAAGGTTTCCACACACTAGAAGCCCCTTGCGGGTGGAGACTTTGGGTGGCGGAGGGGGGAAGCTCCGGAGCCACGGAGGAGAGCGCAGCAACAGGGGTGCGGAGGGCAAAGCGGAGAGATTACCGCACAGAGGATCAGAGCCGACCGGCACTCACCAGCCCAAGAGGCTTGTCAGCTCACCCGCCGGGGCGGGAGGGCTGGGAGCTGAGGCTTGAGCTTCGGATGGCTAGCCGGGAGAGGACTGGGGTTGGCGGCGTGAACACAGCCTGAAGGGGGCCAGTGCGCCATGGCTAGCCGGGAGGGAGTCCGGGAAAAAATGTGGACCTGCTTAAGAGGCAAGAGGCCATTGTTTTGGGGTGCGTGAGGAGGGGGGATTCAGAGCACCACTTAAAGGAGCTCCAGAGACGGGCGCCAGCCACGGCTAACAGCGCGGACCCCAGAGACGGGCGTGAGACGCTAAGGCTGCTGCTGCCGCCACCAAGAAGCCTGTGTGTGAGCACAGGTCACTATCCACACCTCCCCTCCTGGGAGCCTGTGCAGCCCGCCACTGCCAGGGTCCCGTGATCCAGGGGCAACTTCCCTGGGAGAGCGCACGGCACGCCTCAGGCTGGTGCAATGTCATGACGGCCTCTGCCACCGCAGGCTCGCCCCGCATCCGTACCCCTCCCTCCCCCCTCCTCAGTGAGCCAGAGCCCCCGAAGCAGCTGCTCCTTTAGCCCTGTCCTGTCTGAGCGAAGAACAGATGCCCTCAGGTGACCTACACGCAGAGGCGGGTCCAAATCCAAAGCTGAACCCCGGGAGCTGCGCGAACAAAGAAGAGAAAGGGAAATCTCTCCCAGCAGCCTCAGGAGCAGAAGATTAAATCTCCACAGTCAACTTGATGTACCCTGCATCTGTGGAATACCTGAATAGACAACAAATCATCCCAAATTGAGGTGGTGGGCTTTGCGAGCAACCGTAGACTTGGGGTTTACTTTCTGCATCTAATTTGTTTCTGGTTTTATGTTTATCTTAGTTTAGTATTTAGAGATTATTATCATTGGTAGATTTGTTTATTGATTTGGTTGCTCTTTTCCTTTTTTTAATTTACAGATATATATATATATATTTCCCTTTATCTCTTTTTGTGAGTGTGTATGTGTATTCTTCTTTGTGTCATTTGTCTGTATAGCTTTGCTTTTACCATTTGTCCTAGGGTTCTCTCTGTGTTTTTTTTTTTTTTAGTATAGTTTTTAGCACTTGTTATCATTGGTGTATTTGTTATTTGGTTTGGTTGCTCTCTTCTTTCTTCCTTTCTTTTTTCTTTTATTACCTTTTTATTTTTAAATTTATAATAATGTTTTTATTTTAATAACTTTATTTCTTTTTATTTTCTTTCTTCCTTCCTTCCATTCTTCCTTCCTTCCTTCCTTTTTCTTTCTTTCTTTCTTTCTTTCTTTCTTTCTTTCTTCCTTCCTTCCTTCCTTCCTTCCTTCTTCCTTTCTTCCTTTCCTCCTTTCCTCCTTCCTTCCTTCCCTCCTTCCTTCCTTCCTTTCTTTCTCTTTCATTCTCTTTCTTTTTCTCTTTGTTTTTCCCTCCCTTTTCTTCTGAGCCATGTGGCTGACAGGGTCTTGATGCTGGCTGTCAGGCCTGGGCCTCTGAGGTGGGAGGGCAAAGTTCAGGAAATTGGTCCACCAGAGACCTCCAGGCTACATAATATCACATGGCAAAAGCTCTCCCAGAGATCTCCATCTCAACACTAAGACCCAGCTCCACTCAACGACCAGCAAGCTACAGTGCTAGACACCCTATGCCAAACAACTACCAAGATAGGAACAAAACCCCACCCATTAGCAGACAGGCTGCCTATTATCATAATAAGGTCACAGACACCCCAAAACACACCACGGGACATGGTCCTGCCCACCAGAAAGACAACATCCAGCCTCATCCCCCAGAACACAGGCACCAATCCCCTCTACCAGGAGGCCTACACAACCCACTGAACCAAACTTAGCCACTGGGGGCAGACACCAAAAACAACAGGAACTATGAACCTGCAGCCTGTGAAAAGGATACCCCAAACACAGTAAGTTAAGCAAAATGAGAAGATAGAGAAATACACAGCGGATGAAGGAGAAACGTAAAACCCCACCAGACCAAACAAATGAAGAGGAAATAGGCAGTCTATCTGAAAAAGAATTCAGAGTAATGATAGTAAAGATGATCCAAAATCTTGGAAATAGAATGGAGAAAATAC